TCCCCGCAGGAATGTTCCGTAGGAATTCCGATAAAATGACGGAGAATAATGTAGTTTTTATTACATTATATATATATATTTCTATATATATATAATGTCACTCGTGGTCAGTTACAGTTAGTATTTTCTTTAATGTTAGACATTGCTAATAATGACAAAGTCTGGCTTTCTTCCTATCATTTTCTTTAATGTTAGACATTGCTAATAGTGACTGGCTTTCTTCCTATCATTTTTTTTTTATTTTGTATATCTATTTTGTATAACCTAAATATCTAAGATTTCCAGTATACCATGGTATTTTCCCCCTCTGAGTAAACTTCCGAGTATTTCTCTTTCTCTCAGATCAGTGTATAAACATAGTCCCTTCTCAGCAGGACAGCGGGAACAGGAAGCTTCACACCTTGTGTTTGTTTCCAATTCTGCTCCAATTTGCTTAATTAAAAACAGATGGAGATCATTCCAGAAGGAGGAACATCTCGGAGAAACTCAGAGAACCGGATCTTAGGGTCAACAATCGGAACCAGACAGTGGACATACTTCGTGCTGTTTGTTGTATTACTGCAGAAATGAACATATGGTTAGATGACGGACAGCTGATCTGTGATCAGTTTCCGCGGTGACTTCTCTAATTCTGGCCTCGACGCAGGACCAGTCAGGAACATTAGACCAGACCTGGAGTCAGAAGTTAACCTCAGCGTCACAGATGAGGAGACAGGGACCTGAAACGTGATGTGTCAGTTGTGACGTCAGCAGAGCTGCTATGTCCGAGCATCATCTGTTCTCATGCCCACACACTTCATATCCCACAATCCCTTAGGCTCAGATCTCGGCAAGAAAGAATGAGTCACAGCTCAGAGGTTTTTTAGAAATTGTCAGTGGAGCGTGGATCGAGAAAAGTCGTGAGGAGACGCGTGCACGCACACACCAATATATCCACGCGTAAAATGTGATAGATGTCGTATCCAACTCACTCTGTGATGTCACTGAAGTCTAAAAGATTGTGTTGAGTTTAAATTTAAAGTTTAAAAGCGAAAAAGGTTTTAAAATTATATATAGTTTTAAATATAAACAGATTTGTATATATACATTTTTTTAATCTCTTTGCAGTTAAATAAACAGATTTGTATATATACATTTTTTAAATCTCTTTGCAGTTAAAACAATGAGACATTTATTTTCGATGTGGCAATATATATAGTCTTTGTCATTATATTAGCTTTCGTATTAAATATATTACATACACACACACAAACCTGTGCACGGATAGGTCGGTCAAGGACGGTCGTCATGGCAACGGGTTTGAGAAAAACGCCACTCACTGTAATATGACTGTTATTAAATCTGACAGCGAGATTTTTTTCTCTCCATGTTTAGGTACTGCAGCGCCCACTAGGGGATATATCTGAAATACACACTCATCATATGGGAGCACTGGCGCCGACACAACAGCGGCCTCTGCTGGTTTTCTTTGGTGAAACCAAAGTCTTGAGAGAAAGAAATTTCACTTACCTCCAGTTTGATCACACAACATCCGTGTTTTCTGTTAGAAACATAAGAATACATTTTGTGATCATGTTTTTGTTTTGTTAGATTCTAGTGTTTTTTTTGTGATTTGCAGCATTTTTAACATTTAACTGTTTTTTTGTTGCGATTTTTGAAGTTTAACGTGTGAAAATCTTTAGATTTATTTGAACATTTACTACATCCTGCATTCACATTAGCTTTATTAGGGTATCCTTTATGAACCTACTGTATATCTTTTTTGGCTAACTTTTGACTAGCTATTTGCTATTTAGCAGTTTACTGGCTAACTCTCTCATTCTTTTACTGATTTTAATGTTTTCTAAATTATTTTTTTAGCAAGCTTGATTTACAATTTTTTCCACCTCACCTAAACCCTTACTCAAAACCCAGGTTATTGGTTCACAAATCGGGGAGTGAACCCCCTTAGAGGGCACAGAAGTATTGGAGGATCTGCCAGGAAAATACATTTTAGGAAATTGGTGTTTAACCTGGTATACATAGGAGAGAAAGAGACCAGTAAAGTAGATGAAGCATTAGATTTGGGTTTTTTTTGTAACGGAGATGTTTATTTAGACAACTGAATGCATGCCAGAAAGAACCGCGTTACAGCGACGGTAACTTTCAGTTCTTGCTTTTCTAACTCTGAGGGAAGAGACCAGAATTAATGAAACACCAAACTCTGTTGTGACTCCTGGTGAAACAGAACAATATCTGCTCTAATTTATTGCATTGACACCTTTTAAGTCGCGGCTTGTGTGTCAAAGGGACGAGGAAGACAGTTTTTAGGTTGGAGAGGGGACATGGGGGACGGGGGTCACTGTAGTGGAATCAGAGATCATTATAAAGTCGCTAACGTCACTGCTTTTGGAAGAAAACGAGAAAAAAAAGAAAAGAAAAATTCACACTTTGATTTAAGGGAACTTTAACCTGGCACACGAAACACATAAAGAGACGATAAAAAGTATGCACTTACTGTAGGTAGCATTCACATGCAGTACAATGAGTCTTCTCCTCAGACTACAGTTAACATTTTTTTCTCCACTATTTCTTACAGAGATTCACAGCTAAGGTTTTTTTTTTTTTAATTTTGGGGAATTATTTTACATGTAACGGCCATGAGTAAAAAGACATGTCAGGAAAAACAGGTAACAGGCAAATAAAATGATGTTATGGCAGAAAAAGAGACAAAATTGTGCTTATCAGTTGGCGGGACTAGAACCCCCGTTCTACTTCCTGATCTGTTTCAGTCCGTTGGTCCATCAAAACTTTCTCTTAGTCACTGTTGTCGTCATTGTTTCTCCAAATATAATCGATGAGCCAAAAATACCGTAATATCAAAAATAAATGCAACCCTTTCACAAAAAAAAAAACAATGAACAATAAATAATAATCAAGTGGTGTTTTTTTGTACTGTATATGTACTGTATATACACAGAGAGTTAGTTTGGTTGTATATATGTACACAAAAACAAGTGGCAGTCAAATCCAGACTGGGATTTTCTGTTTTCTTTGTAGAGTCTACAACTGGAATTCATGCCCAGACTCAATAAATCCCAGGAAAAGCAACAACAGAATAAGTTACCCAGAATCCTCAGGGGCAGAGGGCAGAGGGCAGAGGGGAGTGGGAGTAATGCACAATGAAACTTGTGTGTAGCCCGTTTCTTCTTTTCGTTGTTGCCAGAAAATAAAACCGCTCGCTTTGGAAATGGAAAGAAAATATATATGTAGTAACATATAGAGATATATATTTTTTGTCTCAAAGGACGGGAGTTGAAAAATAAATCTCCCAGAATTCCATAGAATGAGTAGCTTATTAAAACATTGATTGGCAACAACATGCTAAAATGCTTTGACCAGCCTCAGGTGGAGGGAGGTGGAGATGAAGCACTTTTCCTTGACTTTTGCAGGATTTGCATGTATTCTCTGGTTTTAGACAAGATGTGGGCCACGGCTGCAGGGTGTGCACACCACAAAGTGGGCCACAAACTCTTCCCTTTTTTCTCCCTTTCCCTTCAAAGAGCGTTCCAGCTGTTTTCGAGAAATACATTGTTGTTCAATGTCATGTAGTAACGGCAGTAGGAAAATAAACAGACTGATGTCCCAGGTGTCTGTGAACACACCACTGATGTTACTGAGCGACACCATGTGGTGGCATGGTGACTGTGCTGTTTTCATTTTCTTCTTTTGCTTCTTCTGCTCAAAATATTATTACAAGTGCTATGAAACATACATCACATTACAATAGGAATACACCATAGAGAAGGCTGCGCCCCGTAGCCTATGTAACCCATGTGGGCTGGACAAGATTTGATCACCTTGACTAAGAACAGTCAAATGTTGTTTGGACACCCTAAGTAGTACATGGAACTATTGTAGGATTGTAGGATATTTTAGGCTAGTTCCTATTTTTATGCTACATTGTTGATTAAACCTTTTTCTCAACAGTTTTCACAGAATTTAAAACCATGATTTAAAAACCTTTTTCTCAACAGTTTTCACAGATATTAAAACCATGATTATGAAGCCACACAGGTTTTAACTGCAGCCAAAGGGGATTGTGGGAAACAGCGGTACACAGTTATCTGCAATCAGTGTGAACTGGTCTTTCATATTTACTAAGAAAGTGATTCCTGTTGCACAGCATTTGTGATTATATTTTGAGTAAATTAGAAGCAGCACATTGTCTAAAGTTGTGTCTCCAGCTCTGTGGGCTGTTACTGAGCAGGTGTCTGAAGCTGCTGTGCAAACAGGGTACTAAGTATTCATAGGTACCTGTGTTCGTTGGACAGCACTTGTAATAACATTTCGAGCAAACAAAGAGGAAAAAAGCCTCATCTACCGCCCCCTATTGATTAATTTTGTAACAGCCAGGGTGTGTGCAAATAGCTCGAAATGAGTCAACTCATTCTACATGGGACCAAATGTTCTTTGTTTTCCTTCTGACGATACTCGGTGACCTGGAACAACGGGCACCACGTGTTGAAAACGGCCTCATTTCTGTGAGTGTGCTGCTGTTTGGACTGACTTTAAAAGACGGGACAGGAGGTTCCTTTTCCTCTGGAAAAATTCATGTCTTCCAAATATGTAGTCTGTCATCTGTTCCTGTGGACGTTCACATGCTCCGGTCAGAGAGGGCAGCAGGTCGCATCATCATTTCTGCATTCACCAATGTCCACCCACTGTAATCTATTCATGTCCACACAACTGTCCTCTCAGCGTATTAGGGTCCATCTGCTTATCCACCAACTCCACAGTCAACATTTTTTCACTCGCAGTCTTATTTTAGTAGCTTATGTACAGGAGGTTGAAGTGTCTGCCAGACAGTATCCCAGGCAACCAACCACATGCTCACACATTTACAGGATCTCCAGCTCCTCCTCCTCCTCCGTCCTCTCTTCATCTCTGTACACGTCCAAGGTTAAATGTGTTTGTGAATGAGTCTTTGAATGACAGCTTCACTGTTGTTACATGAACATCTACCTATAAAGTGTGTTGGTTACTTCATTGTTCTGGCTGCTGCTGCCGCCGCCGCCGCTGCCACCGCCGCAGACGTCACTGAATCTTAACACAGCGTGTTTGTGTGACTACAGTATGTGTGGATGCATGGGTTTTGTGCTTGTGTGTGTGTGTCGTCGCGGTCGCGTGCATCTCTGTGCTTCCCTTTTTTTCAGACACTCCGTGGAGGTCTCTGGAGCTCGTGGGTCCTCCTGTTGCGTCCCTTCTTGTTTTCCTGCATCCGTCGCCACTTGGCCGCGTGCTGGCTGCTGGCCACTCGAGACACGCCCACCACTTGGGAACCAGCCAGATGTCCCTGCTGCCCCCTCTGGCTGTTCTGCATCTTCGGGCTGTTCTTTGCAGCCTGGCCGCCCAGATTTGTTTGAGCTCTCTGGCTCTTCTCTGGCCCTTCTGTAGTTGAAGCGCCAGACTGGTGCCATGACCTGCCCTGTGGTGGAGCGCCGTGCTGCTTCTGAGCGTTCAGGGCTAAGGTTCGAGGCCGTAAGGCCCCTGTGCTGTCGGCTTTGCCGTGGTCATAAACGTTGGGCACCTTCACCTTCTTCTGTTTGCGGTCCTTCTTCCAAACTCGATCACAAAACTCTTCCACGCTGTTGAGGTCAGGGTGGTCCAGCAGGGAGAGGAAATCTCGGTACCACATCCTGTGCTTGGCAGACTGACCACCACCTCCTCCACCTCCTCCACCACCTCCACCTCCTCCACCACCTCCACCACCACCACCACCACCACCCAGGCCTGGGAACCCTGGGAGGATGTCGCCCAGTTTCTGTGCGGGGATGACTTGGAGGTTCAAGCGCAGAAGAGGTTGGATGAAGCCATGTTCCACGGCCTGGCAGTGGTACACCCCTGTGTCCGCCTGGGTCAGAGTGCGGATGAGCAGACCCTGCTCTGTACGAAGCACTCGGTCATCCAGTTTAATCTGGGAAACACAAGAAAAACAAATTATAAGTGGCAAAAAACCCTAGACCAAGTTCCCTAAGCACATAAGAAACGAACAAAGAAGCTAAAAGTCTTTTTTTAAAAATAACTGCAAAAATCCTAAATGATGGCAGCTCAGAAATCTTTACAAAAAAGTGTAGCTAAAGAATCTGGAGTTAGCAGTAAAGCTTGGCTTACAGTTAGCAAGAAAATAGCCAAAATATTGTTTGGAAATAGACTTATGTTTAAGAAAGGTTTAACTAATTGAGCTGCAGAGAAACGGAAAATCAGCATAGATAGATAACACATAGATAGCTAAACTATAGTAAAATTAGCATAATGTTGGCAAGAAGATAGGGGAAATAAACCAAGAAAAGCTAAAAGGTTAAAACAGGTTATAAATGCTCATGAAAAGTCTGTTGAAATCAGAACAGCTAGGTAGCTAAAATGATGGCAAGGAGCCAAATGAAATATAGCTCACGTTAGCCTCAAAGATAGCCAATGACAGTAAAGCAAAGGCTAAAGGAGTGCTAATTCATATAATTAAATCACACTTCACAGAGAGTCCAACAAAAACCATACCACCACTGACGCAGTACCTCATCTGTGCCACTGGGCCTCTCCTTCCGACATTTCTAATTCCCCTCCAGTCTTCACTCAACAACTGCAGTTGTCCAGTGTTTCTACAAATACCCCCACGTGCAGGTCTGCACTGATGCGGTGCAGATTTCCATCACTGCTGCCACACCAACTGACGATGTGTCAAACAAAACGTCAGAGCAGCAGAAGGTGGAGCAGGAGGCAAAAAAATCAATAATCAAAAAAATCTGTCTCCAAGAACCACACGCTGCATCTTGTGTTGGGAAACACTGGGCACAAACATGAAGTGTATTTAGTTTGAAAGTGAACTCCGCGGGACACCGTCAACTTTCCACAGATCAAATCCACAAACCTGGATGGCAGGGAGTTGGGTTTTGCCAACGGTTCTGCACAAACTGAGCCTTTGTTATACGTGGTGCAAGAACGACGTCATTTATTTGAATAGAACCACTGTGTTAAAGAAACAAGGTCACGCAGCGAGGAGCTGATCCTGGTTTGAATTGTGCTGAAGTTGCAACAAAACCGCGTAAAACTCATGTCGCGGTTAAGAAAATAAAACCACGGTGCAAAGAAAAAAGAGTCTGACATCATGGGGTTAAAGGTCAATGTAAACACGAGTAAACTCTGGTTTTTATTTCTTTCTAGGTCGCAAAGTTCAGAGGTCATATCATGATAAGGAAAGGCAGAGTAATGATGTTTTGGCTACACAAATCCAATTAGTGAAATCAGACACAGCAGATCAGGAGGATCGAATAACGTGTCCAGACTGGACAACTGTTTCAAACCTCACCAGTTATCTGTGGAGAATGTGCTAAAATCCAACTTTTTTCTTGGTTCTTTGATTTGCTGGCCCTGCCACTTACGTTCTCAAGCAACTGTCAAAAATGTAACCCATATCTTGTATGGCCACAAGAGGTCAGCATCTAAACATGGGCGTTTGAACACTGTAGCTGCACCACTGAAAAAACTGACAGTGTATTTCCATGGAAACACCAGAGATAAATAGTCTCCTTTTCCTATGACAGTTGAGGCATCACTGGCATTAGTCTGTTTCATTTATCGATTGCTGTTTACTGTGTTTTGCTGGTTCCAAATAACAACAGCTGGATTGACCTCTCTACACACACGCACACACACCTCTAGCTTCCGATCATCATTGAGCTTCTGCAGCTGCCAGTAGATGAGTGCTCTCTGAGATTTGGGGCTACACTCCAGGAACATGCTGCTGTTCTCCACGCCGAACACATTCCTGTCCTCCACCGTGCCTCCAAATCCATCTGTGTCGTCTAAAAACAATGGGAGGAAAAAAAAAATGCAACGTGAGATGTGGACTGAGGGACAGAGTTAAGTTGTGGTTGAGGAGGTATGAAGACGAGGTGACGAACTTACCGTGATGCTGAAGATCGGAGCACTGTGAGAGGGGATCTCCGTTTCTGATGTCCTGTCGTCTCGTACGCCTGGAAAGACAAGGTGAAAACAAATGTAATTAAAAAACAGTGAGCTGTTGGCAGTTGAAGCAATGTGTGTTATTTAGTTAGGGACAATAATGGCACATAGGTGGGTTTTTAGCACCCCCTTCAGTTTCTCAGGCCCATTATAGTCTGTTACATTTGGATTTCTTTCATTTAAATTACTACTATACCAGAGATACTGCATATTAATGAACTAATAATGTACATGTAAATATGCAGGTTATAATCAGACTTACTCTCCATTTTCAGTCTGAAACTCCATCTTTCACTGTGCGCATTCCATTTTTCTTCGTCTTTGTTTCTAACTTAAAAGCTATCTGTTAATTATATATTAAATTTATTGGTGAACAAACTTAAAAGCTATCTGTTAATTATATATAAAATTTATCGGTGGTCAAGCTAGTCATGCTACTTGCTAACACTCCCGTATCGTGTAGCTTTCTTTTAAATAAACTAATCTGTAAGCACAACAAAAATTTTATTTCTGCATTACCGAATTCTATTTACACTCGGCAAAGCTTTGCTTTTGTTTTAATTAAGTACATTTTTGTTTAACTTATAAAAGTTCCGGTTTGGAGTTGTGTTTTGGACCATTTTAAAACTATTTAGATTACTTACCCATTACGTTGTAGTCTTTAGTTTTAGTTTTATTATTGAGTTACTATACAGATTTAGCTATTTTAATTATTACCTCTTTTGACATCTTTATTTTTTACATTTCGTCTATATTCGCACATACGTCACAAATAACCGTTAGTGACTGGCATTAACGCAGTGAAGCAATCTTAACTGTCGTTTTCCCTGATGTTCAAAAAAGCCAAGAATATTTTTGTACTTAAATCACCACATAAATTAAATCTCTCTATATATACAACCTACATTTATTAAATATAGGCGAATATAAACGTAACAGAAAATGCGAATCCGAACCAAATAAATCTATGTTCAGTTTTTACCTCTTCTGTGTACTGTATAATCTTCACCACACGGGGGCAATGTTGCCCAGCGATACTCCACGTGGAGCTTCTTATGGCACTTAACCACGTAGAATACGTGTATTTATTCAACCTTTACTCTAGTGTTGAATCGCATGTGTGAAAAAGACACTAAAAAAAAAAATCTGGCAGAACATTAGAAACGTAAACCTGCCGAGCAATAAAACACGCTTTTATTGCCTTCTGACTTTTTCAGATGGAAACACACACTGATTCAACTTTCAAATTCCTCTCTGCACGAAGGTCAACTGTGTTATTTGGGAGTTTTTAAAAAAATGCAAATGTGAGGATTTTCTTTTATAGCCTGTCGTTTTAGCCAATGTGTCTTCCCTGTTTCTAGTTGCCATGGAGTAAAAATGCCTGAAAAACCAAGCAGGGACAAGTGGTGCGAGCCAAAGCGGAGGAAATGGCTTTAAAGGCAGGAATAAATCATTAGAGGTGGAAAAAAAAAAAAAAAAAGCAGATGAAGTTAAAACGTCCTTGTCCTCTCTGCATATTTCTGTGTGCCATGCATATGTGGGCACTCGTCTCATGTCTTTTTTCTTGCACGTCCCTCATTTTCCCAACATTTCCTGTGCGAACATTCCTGTCTCTTCTGGCCGTCTGAGCACGTGCGGGGCCCGTCGTCTGGTTCTCATTCTGGGATGAGGGAAAATATTTGCAGAATAGTGGAGAGCAGTCCTGGTACAAAAACCATGGGGTGTGCCACCTGGGCCGTCACTCTACCAGGCTGCTGAGAAGTTCTGCATGAATGGGATCCAGGGGTGCCAACATTGGTAAATGTGTGTGTGTGTGTGTGTGTGTTTGTGGAGACTGTGGTGGTCCACCTAATCCTGCCGAGTAGAGCAGAGGGTAATTTGAGGGTGTGTATGTTCATACCTCCGGGCAGCAGGGTGTAGTGGTCAGACTGCTCCTGTTGGTTATAATTAAGTGTGCATGTGTGTGTGTGTTTGTGTGTGTGTGTGTGTGTAGTCGCCCCGAGGTAGGCATGTCCAAGGTCTGGCCCTCGGGCTAATCCTGACACTGTTTTATGTGTTACGTTTTTTTTTTTATGGGCAACCATCAGGGCAGGACTTGAACGTATTCTTCCAGGGCATCCTGGATCATGTCCTGGTTAATTATGTTACTCTGTAGGACAAAGATTTAGTGCCAACTTACGTAGCTTAGCTTTTCTGGTAATTGCATTCTCTGTGAACCTCTCTAGCTGAATTATTTTCACCAATATTTCTGTTTTTACTCTCAGTTTTCTTTGATTTTGTCCTGTTTTGGACGGTAATTATGAATAACAACCTTTTATTTGGGCTAACCTTTAGGTATGTCTGGTAATTTTGTAACAGTTTAGTTATTTCGATAGCTAACTGTTAGAAAGTTGTAGAAGTATTAGCTTTACTTTGGCTGAAACGTCTAATCATTTAGTAGTTTATGTAAGCATGCTAGCTAACCTTTAGCTAACGTGTACATATGTATTTGTTTGTTTGTTTGTTTGCCAAGTTGCAGCTATTTCTGCTACACACATTATTTTCCCCCGTGTCTTTTCATTGACCTACTTATGTGTAATAGCTGTGGGTGATTAGGATCAAAACTCACTTCTGTTCCTGGAAGAAGTTTTGCTCCAGGTTACAGGTCTGCTCCTCCTGGGCAGCCCACGGTTACAGGTCTGCTCCTCCTGGGCAGCACACTCAGCATGTGTGTGTGTCAGTGTGTGTGTGTGTCAGTGTGTGTTTAATGAACATATTTTGTGCTGGTGGAATATTCATTTCCCAGATTACTACCACATTGAGATGTTTTGGCCTGCGTACAGTGCAGCGTTAGCCCGTCGTGTGCACTTGCTAATAGGCCAGTGGAGGTCTGGGGTTACAGAACCAGGCTGTCTATTCAAATGGCCTTGGGCAAAGTCTTAAAACCTTGTTGCTACAGCACCGTGCAGGTGCTGTGATAAGTCCCAGGTGTGGCTGCATGTGGAGACGTTAACACACAGAGTGGGGACGTTGCTGAAACGAGGCATACGCTCAGCGAATGCTACAAAAGCTCGTAAATTATGTTTTCTTAAAAAAAAGTGTTTAACGCCCGTGTGCGCGCTCCTACCTCTTGGCGGTCGGAAAGTATCTGGAGCACTCGGTGCCGTCCCAGGCGCAGTAAGGATCCCTGGCTAAGCAGCACTCGGCGCAGGCTTTCCCATACACTTCACAACGATGCAAGGACATCTGCGATACGCCCAGGGCCGAGCCAAGGTACAGCTGTTGCTGTTGGAGCAGGAGAAAGCAGAGACGTGAAGAATGAATGCTCCTGTGTGGCTCAGTTGGAAAGGTTCTGGTTTAAAACAAAGTGGTTGAGGACTCGGTTCCTTGCGGCTACATCAGATGTCTTTATTTTTAGATGTCAGTGTTTGGTTTGGAGCCCAGGAGTTCTCGGCTTCTTTTGCTTCCCTTGGCCTTGTTGCTTCGTCAACACATTTCTGCATAAACGACGAGTGCTAAAAGCCATTCTTACCTGCTTGGTGGACAGCTCCATGGCAGTAATGGGAGTTGGCTCCTGCACAGAACAAACACAGATGTTTTCACACCATCGTCGACACACCGGTGATGGTTTGACAAATCATAAATTGCTGTTAACGCTCAATTCTCCAAGTCGTACCCTGAAGACAGTCATCTCCTCCAGCACCACCTCTTCTAGGTCATGCCAACTCTCTCTGGGGATCGTCACCACTTTTAGCACTGTTCCCATATCTGCAGAAAAACACATATACATATACGGTGTATTTATTTATATACAGTTTTCCTTTAGGACCATATGGAATCGTTCTGTGGCTTCTGCTTCTGTTGAAGGACCAAGTATTCTTATTTAAAATAAAAAAAAAAAATGACAAAAGACTGATGAATGTTTCAAGTTGAAAATGCAACATTAAATCATACTGTATATTAACCTTTATGTCAAATGCCCCCCTGGCAGCTTTATCACAGAAGTATTCAGAACTAGAAAACAACTGTATTTTCCAGACATTCACCGACTTGTATTCTGAATAAAACACACATCCAATATCATTACTGACCACAAGAGGGCCCCGTCTACACTACTGACACCTAAATTCTGCTACTGCACTACGGGAAAGTTTCATAAATAAAACAAAGGTTTCCTTGAAGACATGAAAACAATAAAAATGTAGTCACTTCCTTGAAGACATGAAAACAATAAAAACGTAGACACTTTCAAAAGATATGTCGATTTTAAAGTATGCAGCAAAAAAGGCGATTGATCTGTAGAAAAAAATGAACTGGAACTGATGCTATGCTATGCTATGCTATGCTAATGTTAAGTCGGACGACAGTCCTGCAAAAACGCAGACGAAACTTCATTTTTCTCTGGTGTTGGTGAAGGAATGGGTTCAGTGATTCAGAAGCTTTTTGAATTTGTTAGCGAGTTATGCTAACATATTTAGCCCATGTTCTTTAGGCTATTGTGTGAAGAAATAGACTTTCATAATTCTAGTCAAACAATTTTTTAAAAAGGTGACGTATGTTTTTTTCTCTTCACACATTTTTTTGACAGATGCAGTTATAACTGTGGCGCCCCCTATAGTACAGAAAATACATTACCATAATTCAAACAAATTCTTTAAATCAAAGATAAATATACTGAACATTTCCAGGATTTTCAGAGAACCAGACTCTGTTTTGCGTTGACGTACCTGTGCCGATGAACATGACGTCATACTGTCCGTCCTCTGCCTCCACTCTGTCCACCACCAGCTGGGTGAACTGGTAGTCCACATCTGTCCTCACCATGATGGGGCGCCCCCCGATGGGATGCACTGGGTTGTACATGGCTGGGTGACCCCGAGCGAAAGTGATGACATCATCGGGGAGGTCCTTGGTGGAGTCGAACCCTCCAAAGGTTTTACTGGGACACTGAGAGGAACACGTTCCACAGAAATGGTCATGGAAATGTTTACTCTTTGCAGAGTTCCTGATTTTGTGTGGAACGCGTTGGTGTGGAAACTCACTGTTCCAGGGCGGGGGTAAGGAACCCTCCCTTGGAAAGGAACCCACTGGTAGTTGGGTCCATCCCTGTGGGCGTAGGGTCCCAGGAAAACCCTACGGATGTCTGCCATGTTGTACATACACACGGCCGAACCTTTAAAGATGTTACTGTGGAGGAAAGGAGAGAGAGAGAGAGAAGAGGGTGAGAGGGTGAGAGGTGAAAAATGCAAAAGAGATTAAGTTGAAGAGAGGGCGGGAAGGAAGGAGGGAACGGAACAGTAATAAAAGGAGGAAAGATGACAGAGACAAACAAAAGGGATTTAGAAATGATCGGTCGCAAGACAGGGATTAGGAGTCGGTGAAATACTGTGGAAAGACAACAAAATGACCCTTCATCGCACAACCACCGAGAGGAGCGAAGCTTGTCATTACCTAAGTATGGGACTGACAGATTGGAACTCCTCTTTGATTGCTCCCAGCATCTTGAGAACAGACAGGAATTTGGGCACGACACCAAAAAGCAGTAGACCTGTTTCAGAGCGAGATTTAAAATCTCCTCCAATGTTTTTGCGAGCCTTTGCCCGTAGCCAGATGGGCGGATTTTCATTTTTTTTTTTTTTTTTTGCCAGAGAGAGTCCGACCCAGGCAGGGTCAATCAATCACGCAAACTAAAGGAAACGATGTGGCTTTCATTTCAATTTATGCTCCGTCCCGGGTCGTCCAAAAGACAGCAATTTGAGCCGTGACTCATATAAGTTCCACTCGGTCTGATCCAAGACATATATTTCACAAGACTAATTCAAAAATTAAAGTGGAGATTAGGGTAAAGTAAACTTGAAGGCTTCCTGTTCGCCATGTGTGAGGAAACCTGTTTCTTATTTATGTTCAATTAAAGTCAAGACTCCAAGTTTTCCATCAATTTGTGTGAAATATTTCAGCTTTTTGGAACAGAAATGATACATAGGAAGCCTGAAACGAACTTACAGTTGGCTAAAAAATACAGTAAAAATAGCTACTCTTGCCAAAAATAAGAAATGCCCAAAAGCTAAAGTGTAGCTGATCTAAAAAACTAAAGAATATAAAAAGTATCTTTAGATAAAAATAGCAATGATAAATCAAAATGTTAGCCAAAATAATTAGCTAAGTTTACTGTATGTTTACTTGTCTTACTGATAGCATAACCCATACAATGGATCAAAGATATTTGTAGGTAGCCATTAGCTAAAAGCGACCAAAGGTTAGTTAAAGGAAACAGAAAAGTAAGTATTTAAAAATTCTGTCAGAGAAACAAAAGTTTGCTGAAAAGCCTCAGTATAAAACACGGTCGTGGCTTGTACAGATCACAGATGAGGAGAAATAATTATATTTGAAGTGTGGCTTTTAACTGACAGCAGATTTTCATTTGCCGCAAATCTCTCGCCTTCGCAGGAAACGAACGGGTCGCCTTTTGTCTTTCTGACTGCAACGGAAGGATGTATCAGACTAATTAAGGATGTGGATGACACACACACACACACACACTCAGCCGACAGCACTCACCAAAGCATGGAAGATGAATGGATTAGCATTTGAAAATGTTAATTACAGAGAAATTCAATTAACTCCGGGGGCAAAAACAGACACTGCTACGTCTGTGCTTAAGACGGAGGGTGAACATGTGTTTGTGCAGATACACACTGCTTCACAGAGAGAGGCACACAGATTCAATAAAGGCCCTCAATCACACACACACACACACACACACACACACACACTGTCCAACATTGATCTGTCAGTGGCAGCTTCTTTGTGCCTTATTAGGCAGTGATATTAAACGCTGCTCCCTCTGTGTCTCTCTCTTCTATTCATCTCTGAAAACTGCCCACTTAGAAAACCAATTAAAGCACTCCAATTCCTCAATGCCCTGTAATTGAATTTTAAAGCTAACATGTGTGTGTGTTTAAGTGTGTGCGTTTATGTGTGTGGCCAGGCACACGCGTGGGTACGGAGGTGAACACCCAACATCACATACCAACCTTTCAGTTTGAATTCATTCCAGAAAAGTCCGTACAAAAGGTTTTGGGGATAGAAGGAGGCTGACGGTGCGGGGGCTGTTAAAGGTCAACGCACTGCTGTAAAAATGTCAGATTTGTGTGATGTCACACAATGACACTTTCTACCTTTAAATACACCTTTGAACTAGAATAAAAACTTTTTCTAAAAGACATTTGGACACAAACAGTACCGACTGCCAAAAAACGTAACTTTGATATTGAACCATTTGTAGTTCAGCTATTGTAGTAAGATTTCCCTGCTGTTGATGGAGCTTACAGATTAAGGAACAACTGAAGAAAAATGTACCACCAGTAAGTCACTCCAGCGTAAAAGTCACACCGGTGCCCTCTAGTGGCTGTAACTGTAAATAACGAACATGTAAATTTTCAGTGGTACTGGAGTAGCAGATACTGATACACAAGCCTAGAGTGCCCTCTAGTGGCTTTCAGTGTGAAATAACAAACGTGAAATCATGTGAACCTGAGTATAAGTCGCAAACCCAGCCAGAGGATAAAAAAAGTTCCACTTATAGTCTGGAAAATACGGTACCCAATAAAATCTTGAATCTATTTAACCAATGTGGAGCTCAGATTTACCTCAGCTGTGTCGCCTTGGAAGCTAAAGATAGAAGAGGATCTTTGGAACGTAACAAGTTGATGAGCAGGCATCAATTAATTGTTTTAATTTAAAAATGTATTTAAAACCTGTCTGATTAAAGTAAAAAACATAAACTAACCCACATTTTAACAGGAATGTGTCGACGTTTTCTTTCCTGTACGTGTTTGTTTTTCGCCTCTTCTCTTTATCAGCAGTGAATGATGGCACTGGTCCCACCTTCACTGGACACTCCTCCTCCTCCTCCTCCTCCTTCTCCTCATATCCCACAATGCTAATTTCAGCATTATCATAATAAGTGTCACCATCTGTGTCATTTCTACTCACTTATCTGCCACCGCACTCGCCTTCACCCCTCAGCGTGCTTCAATAGAGCTGCACCAGGTCCCTGAACCCCCCCCCATCCTCCCCCCACTCAGAGCCGGGGTGACGGCCAGGGTAGTGATATACATTCACGCTGAGTGAATATCGTGTTTCCTTCACTGCCTCCTGCTCCGTAATCTGATTTCCTGACAAGCTTCTGCCAAGGTTTCAATGAAAGAGCGAGGTGGGACAGGTAGCGGGGAATTGGAAAATCGGCTAAAAGCAATCTTCAATCTGAGTGGAGTGGTGGAGAGTCCTTCAAACAATGGGAAAGCAGGCATGAGGCATGAGACACCTGTAAGTGGATTATGGGGATGGGGGGTAGGGGGGGCAGTTTTCCGACTCATTTGAGATGTTTTTCGGAATTACAGATAACGGGATGATGGAATTAAAGAATGTGAAATACAAAATATATACAGTTTTTATCTATATACACATTCCCCTTATGACTATAGACCTTCAAAGAGTCTCCGGTGAGAATCCTACCTGGATGTGGTAAACACGGCGTAAATCACAGGATTTTTGGGATCCTTGGAGCTCATGAGAAACACGTCCTCTGGAAATACAAAAGCAGAATTGCAAATGAGGCCAGTTATATGTCAAACATCTGTTCCCAAGGTCCATTCTATACCTGTTTGTGTACTTTAAAAGTATTTCTTCCACACATTTAAAGCCAACATAACCAATGGTTAATAAAGCGACCGATGGGTGAGTCACTTGAGTTGAGTTGAGTTGCTGTGTCGTTAACAGTGAAGAATTAACCTGATCCTGAAAGTTTTATGGAGCGTGGGAGGAGTGGAAATGGAAACAATTATGTTCCTGCTGTAAGACAAGTGCGTTTACACACAGGGCCTTAACAACACTTGGTTACCCAAACCCCAAACTCTGCCTAATCACCATGTGGACTACAGCTTAAAACTTAAAAAAAAACTTAAACTTAGTTAGCTATGGTGACCCCTGATAAAAGGGACGAGAGGTAAGAGATTCTTCTTCTGGCAACCTTTAAGCACCTTTCATTTGTAGCTCTTGGCCATATTTCTTTTGTCGTTCTCTATGGTTTTTTTTTCCATTGACGTTTGCTTGCCTTTTTTGTGATACCCATATACCTTTAAGCAACTTCTGGTCTAACCTTACGTTCTCTTTCTATTTCCTTAGTTATCTGGTGTTCAGTGTAAAAAGGCGAAAAAAATCAAACACACCAAGACTTTGACAATGTTGTTTAGATGTCATCAAGACATGAAAACACACTTACGTAGCTCGTCGAAGTGTGTGTCGATGCCATTCGCCCCGGGGACTGAACACATCAGGCGAGCCTTGAGGAACGTGGTCCACTTGTTGACCAGACTCCTGTGGCCTCCCATGTCATTCTGTAACAGCAGCGACACAACAGCTCTCAAAGTTTTCACCACCAAGAAAAAACGTCAACAACCCCCCCCCCAACAGCAGCGACACAACAGCTCTCAAAGCTTTCACCACCAAGAAATAACGTCAACGAAAAAAAAAACCCTCAAAACGACAGGAAGTGTGTTGTTACCTTACACAGTTGTCCTATCCTGGCGATGGTGGCCTTCCCCGTGTGCTCCCCATCCATGGCGTTCTCCTTGAAAAACAGGAAAATCTTGTCGTCTTCGGGGTTATCGCTCTCTGGGACGAGGCTGACGCCGATGAATCTGGGGTCTGGAAGGAAACGTATGTAAGTTATTGTAGTCTCCTTTTTTGGCGTTTTGAAGCTGGTTTAGTGACGTCAGTGCAGGTTGGCTCAGTCATCCAGGTCTTCTTATCCAGAAATAGTTACACCGAGGGCAACTGGACAGAAAAACAAAAACCTACTCTGTCCAGTTACCCTCGATGTGACTATTTTTGGATGGTTTAGTGGCGTTTTCTGAAGGAGAAGAGTATGGTCCCAAATTCCGCCTGAGTCACTGCCAACTCTTCTGCACAAATTTTCATTTTACAACCCCACTTCTGTCCCAATGACAAGCCTTCTACACCTCAAAAACCGATCCTCCATCACACTCCCCACTCATGCCTCTGTAATGACAGCCGTTCGCTTTACACCCTGGTGTTATGATGTCTGACGTTCCCCTCATCCAGCTCTCAGAGTCCAAATCCCTTATAAACCCAGTCTGCAGACCACATCCTCGCAAACACATGGCTCTGATCGTCTCCTCCGACACGTGAATAAATGTATCTTTAATCTTAAGCGCAAAAGGAAATCGAAGATAAATCGCACGGTATTAGAGCAGGATGAGCTTCATCTCAATTTGAGGCCTGGACCTAAAGGGGTCCGCGATGAGAAGCGACCGCAGCCTCTGAGGCGTCGTCACACGTAAAACGAGCCTGTCCAAAAAGCTGGGGGGTTTAGTCGGAGAGAAACAAGCTGGGCCGTGTTACGCTTCCATGGCCGTTTAAAGTGTAGAGTAGCTGTGAAAACGGAGATTGCGGCCAAAGTGGGGAGCAGATTTATAAGGGCTGTGCGGGTGTGAGACCTCGGGCAGGAATCACGTGCGCCCCACACATGACTCATGCCCTTTTATTGTGGATAGAGGGTATTAAAGGTAGAGTACCAGGAATTTTCTAAGCAAGGCCTTAAGGAATATAAAAATGTACCCCTAGTTATTTGAAATGGACCACAGGACGTTTACAGGGACGTGTTTATCTTCACAAAGCCTGCAATTAACTTTCTCTTCTTCCTTTTATTTATTTCCACTAGGTGGCAGGTGTTCAGGATCAGCCCACAGCCAGACCTTAAAGCACATTTCAATTAGCACATTTCAAATTCTGTTCTTGAGTAGAAGTCTGCAACCTGTGGCTCCTGAGGAATGTGCTGCTCTTTAGTCTCTTAGCATTAGCCCCATGACTAACAGCCAGACCTTAAAGCACATTTCAATTAGAGCTCGTCTGGAATTTTGAGTTCCAGAAAGGAAAATTCTGTTCTCGAGTAGAAGTCTGCAACCTGAAGAATTCATCCAAACAGCAGGTAAGCTCCTTAGATACGAGTGCAATGTCTGACAGAAAGAAGAATTTCACGGCAACAACAACCTCTTCTACCAAAGCCAATTATGACTTTAGCAGCAGTGAAGGTTTTGGGGGAAATCTGTTAGATTGTTGAAATTTGAATTTTGTTTTTGTTAAAGACTTAAAAATGCTTGTGCGTCAAAAATGTGTTTTTAGTGGTAAAATGATAAAAATGTCTCTTTTGGTGTTGAAGTTTGCAGATCCCTGCTCTTAAAGTCTGGTCTTAAATTGTTTAAATGTAGCATCATTGAAGTTTGTATGGTAGCATTAAAGGAGGTGGACAGTGCCACCAATTAGAGGGCGCTCAGTGTGATCGTACCCACTTTGGTTCAGAGTAGCCTTGACCTGTTCTACTGTAAGTAACCACCGGATTAAAGGTGGTTTTCTTCTAGTTTCTAAGCGCTAGCACCTTAGCTAGATGAAATGCTTATTCTTAGACTGTCACACTAATGGGATATTTTAACTGTCTTTCAAAAGACTCCTAAACGCAGGAAGCGGCTGCAGCCAACACCTACTATTTAGGCCACATATTTTGAGGGCACAGATTCAATTGCACTAAATTCCACTTCATTCAAAAGAAAGTTAATCTTTATGGAAGTGAAAGGGAAGTTAAAAGGTGGAGACAGGTGTAAATACAATGGAAGAATCCATTGCTAGCTCCAGAGCTAATCGTCTTTCATTCTGACATTAGCCGCCATTAATCGTTCATTCACTGGTTTCTTTTTTATTGTCACCGCAGCATGCAGCCGTGTTGATATAGGCTCGAACTGAATATCCCTATTTTCCAGTAATCCGTTCAATTACAATCCCTCTTTTGTTGAGAGTCTCCTGAATGGATATAATCCCCGGGACATTTCTTTGACGGAGGTGAAAGATCGATTGGGATTAACGTGGCAACAATGTGGCCTCCCTTTTAACCGGATCTTTATTAATATGTCACAGTAACTGGGGACCGTGGAGGCTGTTGATTTTTGTTGGTGGTGGTTGGGGAAGGAGAAAGGAGGCAGGGGGAAGTGAGAGGAATTTGACTCCACTACAGGAAAACAGCTGAGAGCGGATTAGCTGTGTGGGAACCAGAGGGGGGAAAGCGATGGCACAGCGTGAAGGAAAGGTTCAAACTGACCTTTTGTGGCTCCTTCAGTCTTGGGCGGTGCCGAAATGATACCTAGACGGACTGAACGCAGACATGAGACTTCGCTACCGCGCTAATCTGACTGGTGCAGACAGTTCCAGTGACTCGCTGAATGGACTCTGAATATCTGATGTCTGCACATGTACATAAATGGAGTCTGGAGGCTTATGAGGGAACTTGATGCTTTAAAATCTTTCAGTAAAAGCTTGGTCGTATCTTCTCCACAACAGACCCTTTGATGGGACTTAATTCCACTTTGTATTGAACACTGTACCGAGGCAACAAGTGTCCGTTTATAATCCGCTGGTTTGGGTTTGTGTTTCTTTGGATTATTCCACTTTTAGAAGACGGAAATTGAGCAAAATCTTTTCAGTAACAAAATCAAATTAAAATCACAAAAACACAGCTGCCTTTGAATAAACCCAGAAACCTATGGTGTGAAATCGATTCCTTTTGGAGTAAATTTTTTTTTTTGTTTGGTTACCATTCAGCCATCTTGAATCATGCTGCTCTGTCCTGATTGGATGTTGGTCTCCCAGGGTACGGAAAATAGCAAAGTCCCTTCCCATGAAATCGGCAGATGTGCCAGAGTACAGCTCTCCATCTGCCAAGGAGACAAGTTCACTTAGGAACAAATGAGGAATTCTGAAATGGATGCACATTTTCTGGAACTAATCAGGACGGGGATCAAACTCACCGATCAGGAGCGAGGCTGACAGCATCTTAGGGTCGTAGGGGCTTTTTCCACGGCCGTTCTCAAAATGAGGGCCCAGCCTGAAGATGTTGTCCTGCGGTGGAACAGGTCAGAGTTCAGAGTCAGGGCAGTGAAAGCCAAATTAAGACGGGCTAAATGTGTATTTAAAGGCTGTGTTTCGAATTACAACATTAGTCCTGAATCTACTGTAGTTATTCTGGACTTGGAAGCACCAGGCACCAAACTAAGTTAGGCTAAACCTCTGCCAAAACAAAGGAAAATGCGAGCTAACAATATTTACCTAAAAAAACCCACTGACTCTGGACAGCTCCCTTAGCCAAATTAGCCAATGGGATGCTAAAACTTTCTGAAGCTGCAGCAAAAATAAGGCAAATGTATAACCCAAAGATGAATACTGGACTTAACAACAATTTAATTCAAATAACTAAAGGGAATGATCATCACTCGGTGCTACTTCTTATAGCTTAACTGTAGCTTAAGAACCACCAACATGTAGCTTCAATACATCTAGGCATTAGTTGATTGATAGCATAAAATAAAGTTAGCCAAAATACCACATATTTAACCAGTTACAAGCTATCTTAGCATAACAAGTGAGCTAAATGGTAATTATAATAAAAGTTAGCCAAGACATAAACTAACAGTTTATCTCATAATATATTTTTGGAGATCAAAATAGGAAAAGATTGGCAAGAAATCAGTTCAGGGAACTAAATATTACTGTAACTGCTACCCTAGCTAAACATTAGCTAAAGGATCACTAAAGGATAACACAAAATAATTAAAACTTAACTCAAACTACAGAGTTAGCAATATATGTTAGCAAAGACATCGCCAACATCTGACATATCTGAGACAAACATAACAATAAGTTAGCTTAGCAGTAATATTACTAAACATTGGTCAAAACATTACCCAAGTAATTTATATATTATTATGATTGAACCATTGGCAGAGCAAGGAATAATTTGACTAGAGGAGGGTGCGATCTTGAAGCAGCGCTGAGTTTCCTTCCCTGAAATAGACAGTTTCAACTACAGCATAACAAAATAAAACTCAACTACGATATATTAACGCTGAGAGACAGTCAAAGGTTCGTCTTCACCAGCAGAGTGGGTGGTTTGGAATAACCTCCCCTGGTCTTTGACTAAAGAGCTACAGTAACAAAAGTGAGTTGAAACTCTCACTTTTGGTCGAGTCAATTAACCACAGCACAGAGAGAAGACATGCAGAGTTTCTATCCTAACAACCTCCATGGGGCAAACACTCACCCCCCCTCCCCTATTGTCAGGTTACAGGACTCACACTGTTACATTGATTCACCATCAGGGTGACTGATTAAACTTTTATGTGGAGGAGAGGTTGTTTCACTTCCCGCGGCTAAGGTCGAACCCTCCACCGACCTCCTCCGCTTATTCACACAAAGGCGAACATTGATGAGGAGGTAAATCAATGATGGGAATAAATGGTGTTTGGACAGAGTGGAGATGTAAGTCTTTCATCATTAGTTTGCTGGGTGATTTCTAAATAAATATTCAATTGAAATCTAATTTGTTTATTTCTATATGCCCGAGTGAGCGGGTCGATAAACTGACTCCAGTTCTTCACCGTTACCTCTGCCTTCTTGCCCATTTCCAGATATGCACAGATGGGGTGAAAAGCTCCTGTTCCACAGATGTACATGTGGGTCTGGTTGAAGGACTGCAGCACCCTGATGTAGTTCGAAAACTCTTTCTGTAAGATAAATACAACAAAAC